AGGTGTTGGATGGGGGATTAACATTGGGAATTATCTGATCAGATGAGTCGGAGTCATAATCGAATATGATACTTGCTTCATGAGCTTAATTAAGAAATAAAGTTACCCCATGCTATTAGCTATAAATAGCATTCGGTTGATGATAAACGCTTGATCCTAACAAGAACTCATTATTGGTTAATTTTTTTTTATCTGAATAAAACTTAATATCTATAAAAAGATTTATATATTGTCATCCAATAAGTGATGTTATTATATAAATATATTTTACACCATGAATACAAATAACTTAAACTCAATTCTATTAACTTAATTAAATTAATAAAAGAACTTTATTTACACCTGATGGATATAAATGGGTTGAAGGATAAACAGAAAAAAAAATCGATGTACTAATTATTTTAGTTAAATAAAATATCAACTTGATTAAGCAGATCACAAATGGAAACATCCCTAAACATGTTGCCATGAGATGACCATACAGTTCCTACCTATACCAAAACATCATATTTTTAAAACTAATTAAATAGTTAATTAATATGAAAGATATATAGTTTTGAAGCATTATTAATTAATAGTGCATAACTCAATAAGTATTTAAAATTGTGTCTATTAATTAATAGGTTAGCAAGTTTTTTTCATTCTTGATTGCTAGTTGCTACATGTTCATTTCATTGTCTCCAACATGGAAACTTCATTAATTCAAGTCATGTGTACCAAACATTATTATCATTAATAAACAATTAGTAATTGACTTTTTTTCCTCCATAACGATAATTAATTTTTCCCATCAAGAAAATTACATGTGAATCCATTTTAGGCATTTTTTTTTAAAAAAAAATCGTTGGCCATCATGAAATATTATGAAGTTTGACTTATTGATTCAAATTAAATAATCAGTAACGACGTTCACTATAACTCGATATATATTTCACTGTTCTTCTTTTGACATTTAAGTGCTTAGAGTGGTCAATACACACATAAACATATATATGTGATACACTTTAATTTTAAATCAATTTTTTAAAAAATACTCCGTACTTTAATTCATTTTATTCGTCATGTTTTAGATTACAAATTTTAAATAATTTTATATCTACACAAAATATATAATTTGCAAACGTATTCTGCTAGCTAGCTCAAAATGGGAAAATATAATAAGGTCCAAGTAGGTTGATGACAAAATAAGGGAAACCACATGACATTTTTTATTTTTTTTGAAAAGGAGTTTATTTATTCATAAATATATAATATGCATCTATACAAGATCGGTTGCCTGAAGCATTACAAACATCTATAGCCGTCAAAATGGGCTTAGCCCATGAGGCCGGCCCAACCCTTCCCGTTATTGGGGTAGGGTTGGAATAAGATTTTTCAAGTCCATTTAAAATTAGGGCTTATAAGCCCTGCCTATATAAGTCCTTGGCCCTTGAGATTTGATCGGGGCTGGGCTGGGGTCGGCCCATGGGACAAAACTTTTTATTTAAGAGTAATTTACAATAATCTCACTAGTATATAATCTAATTATTTGAATACACATTATGTTATAATATTATGAATTTTCGTACTCAGATATATGTATCTCAGAATATATGGACTCAAAATTAGGTTAATTTGTTCTAGATACACTATATCCAAGTAGATTCACATGTATCTAGTATACATATACAAATCTCGCACCCTCGCCTCCCTCCCATCTTGCTTGTCACTCTCTTATCTCACTCGCGTATCTGGTATGCGAGATACATGCTAATTACAATAGATTTTTGCTAGTTTATTGAAACAACACCATTGTTTGTTATATTTGATTTGAAAATCATCTCATTTTCTTGATGTTATAGAATTATAAGTTTGAAAAGAAAAGGAAAAAAAAAAGAAGGGCTAGCCCGCCCCAGCCCTCGGCCCTTCTAGGGTTGGATTGGATTGAGCATTTTCAGGCCCTGCCAAATGAAGAGCCGACCCGCCCTAGTCCTTCAAATTCCTTGGCCCGCGAGGCTTAGACCGAGTGGAGCTGGGCCGACACTTTTCGACAACTCTACAAACATCTGAAATACTTGCTAATTAAGTTATCAACTAAAGTAAACTATCCGATAATAAAAGAGGCATTCATGCCTAGCAAAAGTTGCTCCCTCCTTGTTAGTATTATTATTAGTAACTCTCCTACTATCATATTCTTCGATTTTAATATTATCATAATCTTCAATTTTATTATTATGTGTTGTTTTCTTTGCTTCGCTTATCCTAATATTTGTGGTTGCAATTTTCTTTTCTTTATTTTTTTTGTATGGTTTCTTTCACTGGTATTTCCTTTCCTGCTGATTTTGGTATTCTTTACTTGACCGAGGGTTTATACTCTATCGGAAACAACCTTTGTACCTTCACAAGATATGTGTAAAGTCTGCGTACATAACATCACTTTTAGATCTCACTTGTGAAATTACAATCAATATGTTGTATCCAAATATGTAGGGACTTGATCCAAATTATTTTCGCCAGTATCATTAATTAGTCTTATCTATAACTCATGTAATCCAATATAGCCTGAAATTCTTTTTAATTCAGTTTCAGTTTCCACTTAGTGATATGATAAAACAGATACCAAAGGAGAATACATTAAAGACTTATAATGATTTGTAAATTGTAAGTTACAGACTTAGCTAATATTAAAGGCAAACCTCGAATAACAGAAGAAGAAAGTGAGTCGTCTCACAAGAAAATAATTTTGAAGAAGCAAAGATAATAAGCCAATCTTGTTTAACGGAACAAGCTAAACTAATAAAATTTTATGGATTACTCCATGATGGTCTTATAAACATAGCAAAAAACGAAAAACGAAGCTCAGACAAAAAATAGACCAATCTAAGAGAAAAGACATAAGTCACCATTGAAGTTGTCCCGAATTGACGAGAGGGAGTTGCTCGGATGGTAAGCACCCCTCACTTCCAACCCGAAGGTTGCGAGTTCGAGTCACCAAGGGAGCAAAAGGGGTGGGAGCTCCTAGGGAGGGTTAAAAAAAAAAAAGTTGTTCCGAATTTTTAAAAAGACACCTTAACTTTGCGGGTGCCCTATTACCCCATTGAACAACTTCAAAATAGTATGTATACCCAATTTTTCACCGAATACCACTTTACAAAAATGTTTGTATGTTAAGCACTAATAGTTACTTGCCACGTGTTAAAAATAATTTTTAAATATTTTTATCTGATTTCTTGCCTTTCTTTTTCTTTTTTCTTCTTTTTTTCTTTTTCTCTTTCTTCTTCGCCTCAACTATGTTCTTCTGCCATTCCCTTCCCACTGCAACAATCATCAAACCCGTTGTGGCGAGGTGGATTTCGCGGCAACACTATCAATTATTTGTCAAACTACCACCAATTAGTTTATTTATGAAAATAAACACCGTCAAATAATCAAAATTTAAATACGCAAAATATCACCAAGTCATATCACCAAGTCAAATCTAACATTTAAATCACCACCTTCTCCAACTTCTTACTCCTAAATCGAGTTTTCCATAGTTTAACTACTCCCAAATCCCAATCTTGATTTGTAGGAGGAAAAAAATCATTAAACTAATTTGTTTTTTTTTAAAAAAATAGAATAAGAATGAACACAATAACATTAGTTTTAAAAAACAAAAACCAAAAAGGAAAAAGAGAAAACGGAAAAAAATATGAAGGAAGCACCAAATCCCAATCTTGATTTGTAGGAGGAAAAAAATCATTAAACTAATTTGTTTTTTTTTTTAAAAAAATAGAATTTGAATGAACACAATAACATTAGTTTTAAAAAAACAAAAACCAAAAAGGAAAAAGAGAAAACGGAAAAAAATATGAAGGAAGCAATGGATGCTCAAGAAATATGGGTAAGCTAATGATGGTAGGGAAGATGGGAAAAAAGATTTGAAAAATTAAAAAATATTCCTAATAAAGTTAAAAAAAATTAATACATGGGTTTTATATTTTTTTCAAAATAAGTCAAATTGGGAGTGCCACATGACAATTTTACATTGGTTTGAAGCTGTATCAAGGGTCCTTCACGCGCCCATATTTTGTGACAACACGAGTGGTATTAAAATTAATCAAAAAGGTATATTTATTGTGGATTTAGATAGTTTCGTGGGGTAATAGGGAAACTCGCAAAGTTAAGGTATCTTTTTAAAAATTTGGAACAACTTCAATGGTGACTTTATGTCTTTTCTCCCGATCTAACTCAAAGTTTTTGAACAAAATTAAATCAACATGTCCTATTATTGTATGGGCTAGCTAGCTCTCCTATATATTTAAGGAACAAATACATAAATTTTCACGAGTCCATCTTTATACTTTTGGGTCCACTATTTTGTGAAATAAAAAAAAAAGAGAGAGAAACTACATATATACAATTATTACTTATTTTTTTTAGAATATTGTGTGTGTTACAACTAATTAATAGCTTCATATCATATATTGAGGAAGATACACCTAGATACACGTATTCTTGCTACAAGATACATTAAATTAGGGAGAGAGACGAGTGAGATGGAGTGAGGTGAGCGAGATAGTCGGGAATCCCAGATACATGCGAATCACACTAGATACGCACTAGATACATATATATGTATGTATTTGATGTGATTCACATGTATCTGATATACTAGATACATAGGAGAGTTTGCGAGCAAGATGGGAGGGAATTATGTATTAAGATACATGCGAATCCACTCGTATATAATATATCTAGAACAAATTATATCTAATTTGACCCATGTATCTCACGTATTTGGATGCACTAAAATCTAGTAAGATTTGTAATATAACAAACTAAAGTGTATCTAAGTAAATAGATCCTAAACTAGTGGAAATTCTATTAGTTTACCTAAAAAAAAACCTTATACAATTAATATTTGTTGTGTAACTTACAAAATAAAACTTTTCATAATCGAGTGACATTATTTCGCCTTTCAATATGAGTTCATCAACCGACCCTAAATACCGAAATGAGTTGGATCTATGGACTATGAGGTGGGCCGGCCATCCTCAAATAGCCCAAAAACATGATTTGGTGAAACAGCATTGATTTTGTCCTATTTCTTGTATGGTTAATCTTCTAAACCATAAAGAGAATGGAGATTTCCAGCAGTAAACATGAACTTACACTTTGCTGTAATCGATGAATACAATTATTATTATATATAAACCCATAGCCATACCAGATTTAAGCTCTGATTATGCAGTCTACCTCAATTACTCCACTCCATACTTACCCAATTCTTAGCCATTTTCACTCTATTAATCTCAACAACAAGAACAAGAACAGGAAAAGTTTGAAACTTTCTCTCAGAACATCAAAGTGTTGTTGTTTCACTCTCAGTTCTACACATAGTTGCAGCAAAGACCAAGAAAAACCCCAAAACAACAGCTACAGTATCGACCCAGATCGACAGAAGAACCCCATAATAAATTGGGAAGAATTTTATTCTTCTATTCAAGAACAAGAAGAGAGAACCCAGTATAACGAGGAGGAGGAGGAAGAGCCGGAATTTGAGCTTCCAGATCATTCAGGCATTAGAACAAACATGTGGTGGACAGACTTGAAAGCTGCATTGGGTCAGAGGATTAATGTGGAGGGGATTGTTTCTTCATTAGGGGTTTTCTCTAAAGACAAGCATTTGGCGATCCCACATGTTAGTGTGCCGGATATAAGGTATATTGATTGGGCTGAGCTAAAGAAAAGAGGGTTTGAAGGTGTGGTGTTTGATAAGGATAATACCATTACTGTTCCTTATTCTTTGAGCTTGTGGTCTCCTTTAGCTACTTCTATTGATCAGTGCAAATCTCTGTTTGGTAACAATATTGCAGTGTATAGCAACTCAGCAGGTAATTCGGGTTTTCGTGATTGGTTTGATTTCCTTTTTAGGTTTGAAGAATATTTGTCTCAGTATTTTTTGATTTGTGAATTTGTAGGATTAGATGAATATGACCCTGATGGTAGAAAAGCCAGAATTCTCGAACGTGCTATTGGAATTAAAGTCATTAAGCACGGTAAGTTGAATTTGCTATTTCAAATCCGCGGTAATCTATTATGTGTTGTGTAACAAGAATAAACAATGCTAAATCAAACAATTGAGAAATTTATATGAATATTACTTGCATTACTTGCAGTAAAGTTGTTGTCTTGAGACCAAGAGGTCATGAGTTCGAGCTGTGGAAACAGTCTCTTGCAGAAATGCAGGGTAAGACTGCATACAGTAGACCATTGTGGTCCGGCTCTTCTCTGAATCCTGCGCATAGCAGGAGCTTAATGTTCCGGGCTGTCCTTTTTTATGTATGAGTTAATGCTATTTGTAATTGCTACTTTTTTTATCTGTATATTTTAGGGGTGAAGAAGCCAGCTGGAACAGCTGAAGAAATTGAAAAGCAATTTGGTTGTGAATCGTCAAGACTTATTATGGTACATTTTGGTTCTTTCAATTGTTTTTGCAAGTTCTCCTTCCTATCTAAGTCGACCGTCCTTGTTATGTCCTTCACAGGTGGGTGATAGGCCATTTACAGACATAGTTTATGGTAACAGAAATGGTTTTCTTACTATTTTGACAGAGCCATTAAGTTGTGCAGAGGAGCCATTAATTGTACAGCAGGTTAGATTTCCTGAAGTCTGATTTCTTTGAAGATTGGTACATATTAATTAAATCAGGACTTACCTAGGCTATGCTAATCACATTTCTAGTAACGGTGGTATCTAGGTTAGCTTGCACATGCCTCGACTAATCCACCTATGTTGAACTAAATTTCCAATAGTGTTAACCTCTTGACCTATCAATTTTAACTTTTTTATCCAACCTGAATGTTTGCACAGATCTTTTTATCTTTTAACTGCATAAATCCATATTTGAAGTGAAACTTCCATGTTATTGTTGTGATACTAGTTGTAGTGGGGGTTGTGTATAAGCTGAACACTGATCTGCTGATATCGGGATTCTTGACATGGGCTCCTCTTTCCCGGTCAGTCATCAGACTCTCTGGCTGCTCTCAGCTAAATTGTTTGCCAGCAGCTGCTGTTTTGCTGGCATTGCCCATCGAGATAAATCTTTGGTGGTGACTGTATATTCGACATCTTATTCTCCCCTACTTAAAAAACTAACTGATATTTTTGTTACTTTCATCTCAATAAACATGTACTATTATCAAGTAAAGACAACCTCTCTGATGCTTGAACTGCTTTGGGCATCTTGCTGTCATATACAGCTGCCAATGGGAGTTGGTATATAGGATGCCTCATCCACTATATTCCAACAGCTGCTCATGAGAATTAGGTCCTTCACCTGCATGATTTTGTCATTTTGCCTTCCAAAATCACGGGGGTTACTGCTGCATGTAACAATTCGTTCTGAGGTTTTTTTTTTTTTTTT